GGCAAAAACAAGTGCATTGTGGAAATCTACTTTTAATGTTTGCTGGTGAATCCAGGCTCTTTCAGAGGGACCAGGCCCATAATTGCAGCCTTCATAATCTCAGCACTGATGAAGCATTCTCAACCTGTTAGGTGCCAGGCAGAATAGGACGGAAGGTCCCTGAAGGCTAATGTTTAGAGGAGATTAGATGAGATGGATCAACACAGATCATTGTATCATCTTCTTCATTCACATGAAACTGCTGGAAAAGGAAGTGATCTGTGTGCCCATCCTTTCTCTGGGATGTTTCTGGGAAAAGGAAGGACTAAATAAGGCAGGGAGAGCACTAGCACCTGGTACCTTGGATAGGCAACAGGGAAGGGGCAGGCACCTGATATTAAGAGGTCCAGTCTTTCTGTCCAAAGGTTGCAGTGAAACTGAGGTGTAAGTCCTTTACAAATGCCCCTTCCCTGTCCCCTGCTTCCCCAGCAGGTGGTCAGTGGGAGTTTCATAGGACATAGATGTGATTTTTGTTTTTGTTTTTTTTTTGTCCTTAGCACTCCACTTTTGGACCCCTGGGCTGCATCATGAAGACATTGTCCCCTATCATGATGCCAGGTGCACGTTCTCCTGTTTCCCTTTCTCTTCCCCATCCTTGTAACTTTCTTGTGCTTTGACATCCTCCCCAACTCTTCTACCCCAGCCTGATGTGGAAACTGTAAAGAAACTACACCAATCCCTATGGTCATTGATTGTAGATTCTGTAGATTGAATATTGTTTCTGTAGCATCCTACATTAAAAATATAATGTATCTCTCTACTCCTCAATAATAAAGAATTTTTACGTATGAGTGATGTAATGTATTCTTTTCCTTTTCTCCAGCTACATTATAAATACATATATACCTATGCATGACACATATATTTAAATGGAAGTATTTTTATTTTGTACACATATCAATTGCCCTAATAGTGCCTTTAATAGTGCTTTACACAATTACTATTAGATTTATTTAATGGTTTAAAAAATGAATATATGAATTTAGAATATAATTTTTAACACTCAGAGGCTTTCACAGACCAGCTTCAGATAAGGAAAAAACCAAATATTCTGATTCTGTGTATATTTCTTTTTTTTTTTAAATTTATTTTTTAGTTGTAGTTGGACACATCACCTTTATTTCACTTGTTTATTTTTATATGTGGTGCTGAGGATCAAACCCAGGGTCTTGCATGTGCGAGGTGAGCTCTACCGCTGAGCCACAACCCCAGCCCTTTGTGTATATTTCTAAGATGAACCTGGGAGATCTTGGTCCCTGAATTGACACTGTTTAATTAGAGAGGGAAGTAGGATTGAGGCTGTGCAAAGCACACTACTGCAGAAGAAGATGTGTCCATAGAACTGCACCATCTTACTATCTGTAAACATGGAGCATAGGTTCTGTGACAGATCATGGAGATGAGATGGTGATCCGTAGCCAGATTTTATAGACTAGCAGGGTTGTGGAAGAGCAAACAGAGCCAGGCATAGTGATACATGCCTGTAATCCAGTGGTTCAGGAGGCTGAGGCAGGAGGATCTCAAGTTCCAAGCTAGCCTCAGCAAGTTAGCAAGGCCCTAAGCAACTCAGTGAGTCTCTGTCTCTTAATAAAATACAAAGTAGGGATGGGGATGTGGCTCAGTGGTTAAGTGCCCCTGAGTTCAATACCCAGTACAAAAAGAAAAAAGAAAAACAAACAGAAATTGATCTGGCTGGAATGGAGGGTGGACAGAGAAGTGATTACCGAAGCCCAGAAAGAGAGGAGCAGAAATCTTTAGCATTAATGGGGAAAACATTTGTTTCATATTCCTCTATAATGTGCCTGTTATCAGCCCCTGCAGCACTGGCCTAGTAGTTCAGAATGTGTAAAGGCACTTAATGTGGAGGGTGTGGGTATCTTTCATTAATCTGATATGCCAGTGCTCACAGCCTACTGATCCCAGGGGGTCTCTGTACTCATAAAACATCCTGGGAAATTCTCAGGCTCCCCATCTTAATGTGGTTTAGGTGCCTTGGTTGTGCCCTTCAACTGCATTAATATAAAGCCGACCTTCAGCTCTCCCAAGGTGGCATCAGGACAAGATCTTGGAGTCAGAGGCCATTTCTGGTAGTTCTTTCACACTAGTGAATATTTTGTCTTCCAAGAACCTCACTGGAGTCACCTTAGATTGACAGTTGTTGCATGATGTGGACGGGGAAAGGAGAGAGAGAACCCCCTTCATAGCAGAGGTCAAAGGATGCCCCCCACTCTAGATCCTAGAGCATTTCTCCTGTGAAACACCTCTCACTTTTCAAAGGGGATACTTTCATGGACTATGGAGAATTCCTTTGGGTTATGGAAACTTTGACAGTTGATTCTGCTTAGACTTGGAGTCAGGCATATATGCTGAGGTGAGATAATTGCTTGCCAAGTACGAGAATAAATGCAGAAAGGTTGCTCTCTGGTGGGGCTGACAAAAATTGCAATACTGGGGATTGCAGGAAAAATGAAGACAAATTTTAAATCAAGTTTATCTTTTTAAATTTAGAGAATGTGTGAAGGGATTTTGACCCTCCTTTTGCTGTTAGTTGTGAAGAGGTTGATACTAGAGTAGACCTGTTCAAGAAGACCTTGGCTAAGTTCCTGGTTCTTTCTTCTCCATTTAGCTTTCTGTATGCGTGGTGTTGTGACTGTGTGTTGCTTTACTTTAAAAAGACTTCAACAGGGCATGGTGGTGCAAGCCTGTAATCTCAGTGGCTTAAGAGGCTGGGGCAGGAGGATCATGAGTTCAAAGTCAGCCCAGCAACTTAACGAGTCCCTAAGCAATGAGAACTTGTCTCAAAAAAAAAAAAAAAAAAGCCTAGGGAATGTGGGTAAGTACCTCTGGGTTCAATCCCTGGTACCAATAAATAAATAAATAAAATAAAAATACTTGAGTATAAACAGCATAAACTTTCACCTGCACCCTTCAGGTGGTTGCTAGTTCATGAAGTATACTGGAGTCAACACTCCAGAGATGGCCTAAACAGATGGTTAGGAAGATTGAACCATGGCCCTTGCAAATCATTCACCTAACATCTCTAGAATTGTACTGGAGGTCTGGAATCTTCTGACCAGTGTGAGTTCTTTCACCTTGCCTAGTCATGGGGGCTGGGCTTTCCATTAGAATATCCACTGCATCAGTCTCTAAGTGACCCTTTTACTAGAGGGCAAAATAGAATTCCTCAGCCCCAAACTATAAGAACGGGTTGCATGGATGTTTTTGTGCCCTCTAGCTAATAAATGCAATATTTTGGGGGGGCAGCATTTGGTACAGTGCCTCCTTTCAATACTATCAACCATCAGTTAGTGAGGTTGTGGAAATGAAGACACATGATCTTCCAAATTCATCAAGAGAACATGCCATCACCAAATGGCCAAATTTGGCTTAGATCAGTTGGCAAGATCCTGTGTTCCCTCCTTCTAATTTATTCATCAGGGAATTACGAAACCCTACCATATGACTGTCCTGACTGAGGGCTATCTTTAGGCAGTGGACAGGAGGAAACCAGAAAGAGGAGGAAACTGAAGGGTACTGGAGTCCAGGACCTTTCTTCCTTGTTGGGAGACAGAGTGGGTAACCAAGACCTCCAAAGTCTCCAAGGCAGTTGTGGGGAGGGCAGGCAGGGTAGGTCATTTTGTTTTGATGGCTACTTTTGGACAGGCACATCTGAGGAGAATATTTAGAATGTTGGGAAGGCAGAGTGACGGAGTTCTAGAAAGACTCTGGAAGTACAGGCTTCAAGAACTGGCCTAGGTTTCCAGGATGCGATGGATTCTGTGACTTCCTTCATCTGGCTAAGTGGAAGTGATATAGTTAAAGCTTTGTCCCAGGGTTTCATAAACTGATTTCCAGACCACTCACATATAATCGAATCAAGACTTTATTGAAACACACCCGTGGCGGCTGACCAGAAAATAAAGCTGTTCCCCTGATCGGCCCTGAACAATTCCAAGGGCGCTCCTTATAAGCCTGAAAACCACAAAAGGGATTTTTTGGGGCGGTCTAGCCAATGCAAGCAAGCCAGGTTACAGAAGCGGGACAGTGCAGTCAAGCAAAGGGAAGCCTAACCAATCACAGTTAGCCCAGTCACCCCAGTTACAGAAACAGAGCTCCATTACCCTAGTTATAGAAACAATGCCCCATTAGGTAGTTTTATGTTCTTAAAGGTTTCTATAGCAAAATTAAAAGAGGATCTTGCCCCAGTCATGACTCTTCTACTTGGCATGGTTGTTTTACAGGATGAAGTCATAAAACAAGATGGAGTCACATTTGCTCCTACTATCACAGAAGGAGGGACAGCAGTGGGTCATCAGTGGAATGAGGGACACCAGTGGTCCAGCCCTCAAGTGCTCCTTCATTCATTCCGTCCTTGAATCATTCACACAAGCTTTGTTAAGCATCTACTAGGGAGTGTGGTTAAGAGCAGAGATGAAGTCAGGAGCTGCCTTCAGAAAGCATTCAATGTTTTGTAAAACTGCAACAGGGGACATTCTGAGAAGCTTTTGGACTACCAGATCCAAAATGAGTTTTGATCCGGCTTTTCACTCCCCAGCCGCTAAGGCGAGGAGTGGGTGATCTTCCAGTCTTGGATCTGCTCCTGGAAAGGCCAGGCCTGGGGGCTTGGCGCGGAGTCAGGCTCCCG